CGATCACCTTACTTGACCTCCAAAGATGCATGGCTTTTCAGAGCAGCAAGAGACAATCGATTCCTATAATATTCCTAAGGGTCCATCATTCTTAAGGCCATGCCATGGAAGAAATGTGAACATGTTCACTCCCACCTGGAACACATCTTCCCTTGACTCCCGATACTCCTGGTAGGGCACCCACGGGTGAATCACAGGTGAAGCATGGTGAATCATGGGGTCAATCACTCTGAAGACCCCTTTCCCTGAACCTCTCTCTCCCCTCTCTCTTTCCCTGAACCAGCTCGGACCGAAGACCACTCTCCACCCGGGCTCCTGCTCCAACCTGTCTCGCTCCTTCTCCAGCGACTCTTCCATCCTCAGCGACTCGAGACAGCAGCGGAGACAGCAGCGACACGCTCTGAAAGCCCTTTTAAACCATACATAGGAGCCTGAAAAGCCTTTCGCGTGGGCATAGCTGCCCATAGATATTCTAATAGCCTTTAGCTGGCGAAACATGTGCGACAAACCAAATTTAGCCACTCTTTGAGGCAAAAAAGTCATTGACGTGTCCATACCCAGCCGAACCAGCCGAACCCCACCTTTCAGAGCCGAGACCCTGGTGCCTCCGGCATCCACGAGAGCCCCAGACCCTCGTGCCACCTGCTCCGAACTCGGAACCTGGTTGAACAGAATCTGAAATACAAAGGAAGAAACAGGCAACTGCTACAAAGAAACAGGCTTCGTCACAGTGATGCTGCTTCATGCTCATCGGTCATCCCCGGTGCCCATCCAATCGTCTCGTGTCCCTGCGGTCGGCACTTGATGCGTCTCGCTTCCAAGCGTGCCACCTCCTAGGAATCGACCGGTGATCCTCTTGAGAGATTGCGATGGAGGAAAACTCACAGATTAGGATTGGATGGCAAGGACAAACATATATAAAAGGTTTGAAGGACATGAAGGACTAGCCCATCTCAGCCATTCAGGAACTAATTAGAGAAGCTAGCTCATAGACTAAGACTAAGAGTGGTGTACGGTTGACATACGGTTGACATGTCATGTGATTCAATTAGACAATTGACTATTGATGTTCCAGCTTAGCTGCAAAGTTTAACAAAAACCAAAACATGCCTCAACATAGGGGAACTCGCTTTTGTTTAATCTCCTTGAGCCTCTCCATATGAAGGACCCCTTTGTTTCTGTGCTGGAGGGATTTTGTCATAAATGTATCCATGAGCTATCACGAGTAAAATGACTTGTCCTTTTCCAGCTTCTTCTCGAGCTTCTTCTCCAACTTCTCTTTCTCCTCCTCCGACTTCTGCTCGACCCTGTCTCTGTCCAGCCTCCGGAGCTCGAGCGCGGCAAAGCAACGCCACACGGCCTGAGGCCAGGGCGGCGCCTGTATTTCTCCTCGTACTTGCGCTGCTCCTCGACCTTGGAGAAATACTGACGTGTCTGTTGACAGATATTGACAAACCATGACACACCATCATAAACATCGACAGTTTGCACGACCGGCGAAAGATGCGTGAAGAATCTCCCAAACTGCACAGGATCAAGCTCTTTCGAAAGATTCTCCGACGGGGATCTGCCAAGAGGCCAAGCGTTGCTGGGTTGCTCTTCGCTGCTCCTCTAGCGCTTGCATGTCTTCGTAGTACTTCTTCTCCATCTGGATCCTGGCCAATTTTCGGAAAGCTCACGGATTGAACCAAGGGTCCAGCTCTTTTGGTTTTGGGCCAGCATGTTCGGCGAACAACTACATTTAGTTGTTGCTAGCCCCTTCTTTCACGCTGTTGATCGCTATTGCTTTGAAACAGGAACTTCCATGTTCTGGGCGACATGGGGGCGACATCGAAGCAAACATACGCAGCCAATACCGGAACCCCTGGATTCGACCACGAAACCGAAGACTGAGTCGACCTGCCCGAAATCACCCAAAACTGCTTCACGACCGATGCGTCATGACGCGTTGCGTCAGCCACTCGCCGCCACTCGACCGGCGCCAGGCCATACTGGCGGCACCTGGTCTGTTCCATGTCATACTCTTCTTTCGCCAGCTTCTTCATGGTCGCAAACCTGGACGACGTCCGACCGTCCGAGGCTCCGTCGGCGGTCCGCTCCGTCGTGTCGACGTGAACAAATATGAACAAATGCATGATCTGCTTTGAGAAACGTGCAATTTTGCATGAGTGAAACAGTGAAACCAAGTGAAACATCGTGAAATTGAGTGTTTCACGTCGTGTTTCACTACCATCACATGGATCACGATGGATCACGATGGATTGAGTTCTGGATTTTGAATGATCTGGCAACTCATTGTCATGGTAATCTCAGACGTCATGTATCGTCGTGTCCATCCCTCAACGCTAATCAGGCGGTATTGGGATCAGCTGAGGCGATGTTGGCGATGTCGACAGTTGAAAAAGCCTAGTAGCATCCTTGTTCCTAGTAGTAAGGCCAGGAGCCCCTAGTAGCGATGCCAGGAGCCCCTAATAGCGTCCTCTACGCCCCCCAATCATACCGTAGAACCCACTTTGGTCAAACAAATGACACACACACACACAATGCCCAGGGTCTTGGGAATCACGTCATGACACCTGTCCATTGTACTCAATCCTGTGACAAGGGCCTATGGATTCCGTTTCGCCAGGGGGCCAGTGGAGCAGCTCTCCCACTACATGCCTACTCTCGTCCTATCCTTTGAGTGACACCGATTGACATCGACTCAACCATCCAGTTTTTATCCAAGGAACCGAAAGCGTTGAACATGGCCTTTGAAAATGGACTGGATCTTCAATGCCGCCTCGTCCTGATCAACGTTTCGACAACACATGAAGCGAGGGCTGCTGGAACGGCGCAACGGAGTGCTGTGTTCCTTCTTCTCCCAACCCGAGTAAAACGTGGCTACGGCCCTAAGCAAGGTGTGGGTTGTTTTGCAGGTTTCATACACTTTACAGCACCCGTCCCAAATCCTTCATCCCACAGTCTACTGGGCCACTGGGTTTTAGAGGAAACACGTATTTCTCAGGGTATTTCTCAGGGTCCATGTTCGTCTGCAGGGGGAGATAACCTATATTAATAATGCTTCATATACCAGCACCCTCCAACAGGTCACCAATTGAGACCTCTTGGGGCCTGACAACCCTCCAAAGGATTGGTTTATATTGATTTGTAAATTCCGAAGGACACACTGGTTCTTCGTTCAAAGCCGAGTCTCACAGGAATCCCCTGGTTCTCACTCTGCGAGACGGAATCTGCGAGATTCAAGTTCTGGGCGAATCCATCCACGGCAGACTGTTGGCACGAACTGAATCCAACTCATCCAATTGCAGCCAGTTCTCATCATCTCAGATGCATCTCATCAAAGTCTGAAACATCTGCGTGACCGAATCCTGCACCCATCTCAGCCAACGAGGAAGGAGGCCTGGCGTTTGAAGTCCATCGTGTCCACCTTCTTTTTGTAGTGCACCGCCTGTCGAGCCAGTCGCGGGAGGGCCACGCATGGCCGCCCGGGCTCGAGTGAAATCGAATGAAGATTGAGTGGAATCGAGGGTACCCCCAACCCAGATTGGTCATTGGAATCAAAGACCGAGCATAATAGGGACTGACTCAGCTGTACTTGTTGTACTGGAAAGACGACTCCTGCTTTCATTATTCGGGACAGAAAACGTGGTTCTGAGCTCTAAATGCTCCTGCTCACATGCAACATATTCCAAAATAATGGACACACCGTACTTGGAATTCTTTTGACGCAACTTATCGTCCACTCATGTTGGAATACGAGAATTTTGAGCAGGCTGGGCAGTGCGCTCATCAGGCACGCTCAAGCAAGCGCTCAAAAGCGCTAAAGCAAGCGCTGTGGCCCTCTTCGTCCCTTTCGTGGGGAAGAACGGGGTTCCTCGTTTCTGGTATAGCCATCCTTTCAGAAAAAGCAATCTGCTGGAGCAGCCATCTGCTGAACAGCAGGGTGAATCCGAAGCGATTGGACATTGCCCAACTCCTTCTGCCGGCGTTTAAATCTAGGAGGGCCGTCCCATTCAGGGATCTGGTAAATCCTGGAATGATCAAAGCGGTTTGAAGAAATCACGAGACTTCAACAAATAAGATCTTCTCCACACAGTTAGGAACTGCCTTCCCAGTCAGCCATGCAACGAGGATAAGTCGGAGATGTACACAGGATCCCATGTTTTAGAGGTTAATGGTTAATGCGTGGACATGAGTATGTTGCATCCATGACTCTTTCCTCTCTCTCTCTCTCTCCATGCTGGGTTGTTGTTGGATAGCAATATATAGAGAGACCATGAGAGACCTGATCCTCTCGAACCAAGACCCCATAAGTGCACCAGGGAAGAGACCCACATGGAACCTGATGGCATGGACCTTTGGAAAAACTACTGTATCACTGTATCACCCAATGGATTTCCTGTATCTTCTTCCAGGGCCAGTTGGAAGGCGGTCACTCCAACTGCCACGAAGCTGACACGCCCCAACTGAGCTGACACGCACCTGCCGCTGCTGGAGGGCCTGGCTCCGGCTCAGGTTCCAGGTCGAAGATGGATCTATAGTTAAAAAGGAAGTATAATGAAGACTCTTGAGGACCATCAACCCCCCCATATGAAGAGGATTTTGCACTTCAAATGGGGGGAGGTGTATCAATCAAGAGTCTACATCAAACTGTCGGTCTGCTAGGCAGGACATTTTCTTCCACCTCTTCCCCCATAACAGCTCAAGCTGCTGATGGTATCAATGTCTCCGTTCTTATAACACACACTCCCGAAGCACCTTCCAGAACTCAAACCAACCGGAAGCGATTTCAACTTTGTTTTCTGCCAACCTTCTGAAGCTTCAGCTTCATGTCTGCTCTCTTGGCCAGCTCCTGACACAGCGGACACAACTCGGTCTTTTGCATCGTTTTTCTTTCGGCGAAGTTGAGGGGTGTGAAGGGAAACGGCCTCACTAGTGCACGGCATGGACATGAACATCCCACTCTGGCGGACCCAAAAAGACTGCCCCTTCTGTCTTGGCAACCTTCTTTAGACTCCTGTCTTGGTCCAATTATTGTACGCACGTGTCGTTTCGTCTTTTTCTCTCCGCCAAAAAAAGAGACGGAGGTCAAGGAGGCCCTTGCGCTTTTGGCTTTCACGTCATTGAACCTTGCACCCATCGGTGCAGCAAATGTGATTGACGACGGGCTTCACGACCTCTTCCTGGTCGGCAGGGACTGATGTGGTAAGCAGCGTCTCTTCCATGGCTACACCAAGTTTGGGCCCTCCAGGCCCTGTGATACTCCGCTGCGAGATGTTCTTGGCACGAACGGACCTGCTCAGTGGGTGGCCATTCTCTTCGTCTTCCTTTTGTTGCTTCTCCATGGTTGCATCAATCACCCGTGCTGCAGCATCCGCGTGGTGCGGCTTAACATCACCATGAGCACCCTTCAAGTACTCAATCCACTCCTCATAGGAGATGGCACCATCTGTCTTCAGATTCAGTTCGCTCAACAAACTCTGTACTTCATTCCCCTCAAAGGTTTCCCCCAAGACCTCTTGCAAATTCTCCACGGTGATGTAGCCAGAGTTGTCGACGTCAAAGCGTCGAAAGGCCACCTTGAGGAGGTGGTCGTGTAAATGAATCCTTGAAGCCACCATGGCCGCCAGAAACTCGTGATAATTCACTTCATCTTTGTGATTGGCATCCAAGGCTTTGAAGGCTTTCTCCAAGGTTTCATCATCAATGTCCAGATTTTGCTCCACGGCCTGCTTGAACTCATTAATGGTGATGGTCCCGCTGCGATCCTTGTCGATCTGCAGAAAGGCGTCCCGAACCTGCTTGCGCTCGTCCACGCCCAAGGACCAAGAGAGAACGCCAAGGCACGCCCTCTACAGGGTGGAGATGGGTGGAGAGATCTATAGGTGAACACAAATGGATAAATTAAACATAGTTTTAACATGTTTAAACACACAACTGTAATTAGTATTAAGTGATGTTCAGTACTTACCTTTGTGCCTTTGTGCTTATATGAGCTTATACTTGTCCTTATTGCCACCCTGCCTCTTGAAGACCGAGATTTTGGCGAAGTTGCACAAATCTTCAATCATTTCTTGATCGATGATCCTCAAGGAGTTTTACACCGTACTCAGGGAGTTTTACATCCAATAGACCACAGAGTCCCCTTGAGTCATCCAACGGCTGTCATCCTGCTTAAGCCAAATGAGACACGAGGCAACTTCGGATAAACACCAACAAAGGTTTTGGGCAAGACACATGGTTAATGATGGTACTATTGCTACGTACTCTTGCATACTCTTGTCACATCTCCAGCAACTGTTCAACCAATTAAAAAGGATGAACAACGTATTTTGCATGACACATCCCTTGCCAAAACAAGGATCTGCTCATGGTGATCTTGCGACTGAAGCCACTTGTGTTCCAAAGCCTCCGCAGCCGTGAGCCGTCTCTGCGGGTCGACGATCAACAATTGCTGCACGAAGTCCTTGCACACCTGGGTGAGACGAAAAGGACGGCCAAACCGTCCGTTTGATGCGTTCATCCAGGCTGGTGAGGCGGGGTGAGGCGGGCGACAGCGAGCGATGGGGTCCGAGAGACGACCCACGGGTCCCACCGTCCTCGGCCGAAAGGGTGGGCGCCGAAAGGGTCGGCGGGGGAAGTCTCGGAGTGTCGGAGTTATTCCGTTTTAAAGGTTGACAGAAGGATTCACATTGATGCAAAGGGCCGGCCAATTGAATTGGTTACAGTATCCTACATGAATTCGTTCACCTCAGCCCGATGACATGGCTATTCTGGCTATTCTCGATGGCCCGAGCGGGCAGCGAGGATGGAGGTTCAAACAGTTTGTTGTTGTTTCAGCCTCTCTTGAGAAGATCAAACGTACTGATGGGTGATGGGTGTGGCTATGTGTGGCTCTTTTTCGGATGATGGATTTGGATGGATTTGGGTCGAGTCTATGCTGGTCTCTCTTTTTTGAGGAGCGAAGATCGCCAGGCCATGGCCACTAAACCGCCTCGTTCACAGCCCAAGCCACAGGTGAGGCCTTGCCCCAAATCGCCGGCTTCTTGGTGAAATTCCCCTCATGGATGTCTCGAATCTGTTTGGATTCCTTGGCAAAAGGCAAACAGGATGCCAGAAGCTGCTCATCTTCATGGAATGATTTTCTTGCAGAAATGCGACTCTGCCTTTAGAGAGTTTGAACCGAAATCTATCAACGTGAATGAGAAAGTCACGTCAAGTGCTAAGACATCCTAAGTAGCATTATATATATTATATACATATTGTTGCTACCAGTACTGTACCACTTGCACATCAAACAGGAGAGGCGAGTTGCTGCCCCAGAGAAAGGCATATAGCCAAAGAGAAGCACAAAGGCGACCACCCCGAGACTCCACATGTCACATTGCGAGGTATAGGACTTATCCAGAACCTCTGGTGCCACGTAGGCCAAAGTGCCGCAGCTCACCGCCATGGTGGTATTCGGATGCCAAATCTTGCTGAAACCGAAGTCGATTAACCTAGGTGCTGTGCTCATCACAAATCACATGCAAAGCCTCATAAAGCATCGAAACAAACATCTTGCTGAGGGTGATTTTTGCTTCAGCGTTCAATCAACCGGGTTATCTGGCTGGTCTACAGTAACTGATTCGGCAGATCACATTTGATCTCTTCACCACGATGTCTACTATGGCGGACTGACAGTTAGAATACGTTTTTTTGTTTATATGCAGTTAGAATATGGTTTTACATAAAGCCTGGGGGAGGCTGGAGACCACATGCAGTTAGAATATAAAGACATCGCTCTTAGGTTGGAGGCCAT